TTTTGTTGACTCTAGGTAGCCTCGTCTGCCTCCCGCAATCAATCCTGATGTGCAAGAGAGATGGAACAACCTTGTCGCTTTGCCACCGGTGAAAGAGGTACTGAGTAGCCGCAGAAACACGCTGCAAAATCAACTCCGTAATGAAAGTTTTGGCCTCTTGGGAATCCATGAATGCCTAGCTCGCCCAGTGTTTAAAATTCGGGTGGAGCTTTGAGCAACAGTATCATAGACCACCCATATCCTGACAGTTAACACCATCCCTACGTTCTCACTATTCGGGCATTTAATTGATGCACGATGGACATAACAAGGAATAAAGGACTTCGTAAAAAGACAACTAGCCGGTTTCTCGATCATCTGATTAACTTTTGGGAGCTGTCCCTGAAAATCAGCGGTCTCTGTCCGTTATGGGCTGTGGACCACCAAGCACCCGGCAAATGGCGCTGGAATGCCATCGCAGCTCATTCCTGGATTTTCATCTTCACGTTGATCAAACTCCTTCACGTAGCTGCCGTGACCGTGCCGCTTTTCCTCCACGATTTGACAGGAACGATGGACAACTTCTTTTATTTGCTGAGTATAAAGCAGCGCGATGTTGCATCTCTACTGGGAAGCGTGATTGTTGCGGTTGAATGGAAAGAAATACGCAATACAATCCAGCGCATCCGCCAGTTTGAAGCGGAATACTTTACCCAACGGGAACTGCACTTAATGCTACTTGCGTCCGCGGTGACGCTTTCAGCATTGAGTATTTGGTCGCTGCAATATATCGTCTGGTATAACAGCACATTCCTCTATCTCAGCATTAGTGAAACAGAATTTATAGCGTATCAGTACGGAGTCAGCTTTTTTAAAAACCATGTAATTCAGGATATTCATGGCGCTTTCATTGTCCTTCGCATGTCTTTATGGCTGTTTGTCGAAGCCTTGTTCCTCACCGTATGTTTCATCATCGGTCGTTTACTGTCACGAATGCGACAGCGTCTTGCATTGGATCAAAATAAACCTGGGGAAAAGAAGACCCTAGCTGACTACTTCGAGATGTGCGAGCTAATCAAACGTTTATCTGAACACATGGGCACATTTTTGCTCTTGCTGTTCCTCCAGTCGGTCGTATTCCTTGTGTGGACCATCAATAATTTTGCCAATACGACAGCGGCATCCATTCAAATCGCAAGGGGAATTCAGATTTACAACACATTGATTTTGATCGTGTTTACGCTTGTCATTGCTTTTGCTATGATTCATGTTCAGGAAAACGTAAGTTCTTACTTTCTACGTCAATTGTACAGTAATGTACAGTTGCGGTGACGTATTTATTATAGGCTAATCTTGCAAAGGAACTCCGAGTGTTAACCAATCGGGAAGCCAACGCGGAACGATCCATGAAAATGTTTACAAACTTGTACTGGACCATAGCAAATCCTGCCGGGTTTTCCCTGGCAGGCGTTGTCCTCGTTGATCGGTCGTTTCTCGCAACGGTAAACATGCATGTTGCGTAATGCTTACAAGTACATTCCTGGTACGTACGAGTGTAGTGGTGACACTGAATGATTATTTTTTATTTCCATCGTAAAGGCAATATCATCTGCATATTTAATAACTTCATTATGTACCTGACCTGCAGATACTGGGTGTTCTGTTTTCTTACGGCACCTTCGTCCTTCAACTGAAAGAAGCGAACTATGAAGGATCTTCCGGCTGCCGAAGCGCAACAAATATTACCACTACCAGCGGGCAGTGACCTTTGCTTAAATGAAATTGTATTTATGGTCTTGACATGTGGGTACCGTAAATGCGGCAATCAAAGCACCTGCAAACACGAACCTCTTCAATAAAGGAGTAAACTATCAAGAAATTGTGCGACGTTCGACGTGCTCAGAAAAGAAACATACATGTAATATCATTTTAAGCTTGCAATATCATCTTCAAAATTGTTTCGTTTCAGAAATCAATCAATTTATACAAAAAAAAACTGTATTTTGCTGCTATCGGCTGAGTTACGAAGCCGAGACTTTTGTATTAACTCTACGAGATCAGAAGATTAATCAATCGGCTGTTATTAAGTAAAAGCTACGGTTGTTTCGAGTACATTACCTTTTTAAGTCATCAGCTTCTTACTCATATCAAAGTATGTCGCTATCTGGATCCGTCTCAGCGCGTTACGGTTATCATAACCAACATGGCTTAGCATACGTACTTTTAATGACCTTGAGCTAATTTTGTTAGTATGGAACCTTCCGGTAACTGAAAATCTCTAGAGTATACCGCTATAGAGTTTTAAATTCACTGAGCAGGTACCCGGTAAATTCAACCGGCGCCGAATTCCCTAATCATTTTTACTGTCATGACTAAAAGTAAAAGCTTAAATATACATTTACTTTAGCACGCTGACTAACCAACAAAGGTTGTCCTTCCTTGACAAGGCGCAGACTGTGAATTACATAGCGTCTCCATGTTTAGACAAGCAGTACTATTATCACAGCAAAAACGCGGCTACACGTCAGTTTCGTGGAAACAGCTTGGGATAGTGCAGCGGTCGCAGTTAGGAAGACTGGTTAAACATGGCTTCGGAAGACGATAAGATGCCTCCACCGAAGGTTATCAGCAAGTTTCTCAATATCGCCATTAACTGCTGGGAAGTGATCCTCAAAATCTGGGGAATAAGTCCGTTGTGGGCCATTAATCCGAGAGAACCAGGCAAATATTACTGGAAGGTCATCGTAGCATATTCCTGGATTGCTGCACTGACAACCATCAAAACCCTGACTGTAGCTGTCGCTACTGTTCCACTGATTATGAGTCGTTTGACAGCAGAAACGCTTCATAAAATATAAATGGGAAGTGGAAACGGTCCCGGTTCGGAAGAGTTGTTTTCTTAGTTTGCCTCTGTTGACAGCGGATGAAAAAGCCAGCCTTAATATAGGCACGTCTGCCGTTTTGCCAACGTTTCTTTCTCAAGTGTTCCTCAAAACCACATGTTATCCACAGACCACAGCCAACATGTGGTCGACAACCACCTGACTGCCAAAGTTGGGAAGGGCAGCGCCGTAACCTTGACCTTAACCCTCCAGCGCCGTGGCGTTGTGCTCGGAGAAAATGGGTAAGCTATTTACGTACAGGATCTCGATTGAACGCATGATCGAGAGATTGGTCGATGCACAGTCCGATGTTAACGAATTTCGGGGGGGACCGTTTTGCCTTCAGATTGCGAAGCATTCTCGCATCAACGACAAGCCCCTCAGTCATAACTGAAAATGACTTGAGGTACATAATAATTGTAGGGATGGCAAAATTTTTTTAGTAAACTAATTAGTGGTTAACCGTCACTAAAATTTGCGAAACTAAAGATTTTAGTTTAGTGAATTTTGGTGACTAAAAACTTTGGTGAAGTCGAATTTAGTCACTAAAAGTTTTGGTGAAGTGATGGTTAACCGATTTCCTGAAGCTGACTCATCAGAAGCTCTAAAACGGGAAAAAAGTAGAATTTTGAGGCGCTTGCCATCGAAAGATTGGTCTAACCGGTCCAAAAGTCGCTGATTTTAGCCCGGCTGTACCAAAACCGCGTGGTATATTCAGTTTTCCGGACGGATTTTACAATGCAGTTTCTTGTTTCTATATAAAAACTGTTTGATTCCTCATGAAACTTTCTACCACACAATGATTTTTGTAAAAACAAATATTTAATATTTAGTCAATGTTAACGACGGTTAACGACTAAAACTTTTAGTTAAGTGAATTTTGGTCACTTGGACTTTTAGTGAAGTGAATTTTAGTGACTAAAAGTTTTGACGAAGTTTTAGTTTAGTGAAGTGAAGTCTGGTGAAGTCTTGCCATCCCTAAATAATTGCAATATGTGCGTACTACGTAGGTTATTCTTCGTTTTCCCTTAACTGTACAAATCGACGAGCAGCTAAGCAATGGCCAGTGACGTAAAATTGTAAATGCATCTATCTTCGTTTGCCCAGCGGCATATTTTCCCACGCCGTAACCGCTGAGAAAAATTTGACCCGTTTTATTTTTCCAGTAATATCTATTCCGCGCAGATACCCTCGTCCTGGTGCTCTTAGGAATGCGAGCGAAGGCGCTGGATGGTCTCGTGCAGCTGGTCGCGGTCGTAGTCGCCGGCGGGAGGGTCCTCCAGGAAGCACCGCCGGTGGAGCTCCCCAGGGGGGAGTATGGCTCCGGATGGCGCAAGACGACGACCAGGCGCTGCTGTTCCGGGAGGGGCAGGCGGAGGGCGCGGAGACAGGGGTGGATGTTCATGCAGTCGCTGCTGGTGCCGCTCAGGACCTGCCTGGTTTCGGGGGGTGTCCGGGGTCGGTGCAGTGGATCGGCACGAGTAGCTGCGTTTGGGCAGGGGTTTCCGCGGCGGGAGCAAGGTGTTGGGGCTGGCGTAGATGTCGCCCTAGTCTCCTGCCTAGGTAGATTACTGTTGTACATAGGCTATTGTGCGCTATTGCGACAGGTAATCAACTGCTATACACATGTGCGTATATAAGGGGCGAAAGTAAACGTGTTCCACCGTTCCCCTGTACTGCTGCTGTCACCCGCCTGGAGTGTGACGTTACGGCAATACATATGGCTAAATCTGGCGCGGTACATAAGCGCCATGTTCAGCCATAACGTCACTCCAGCAGGGTGACGGCAACAGTAAAGGGGAACGGTGGAACACGTTTACTTTTGCCCCCTATATACTGCTAAGAAACCTGTTGAATTTGGTCCGAAATAATTACGTGTGTTGATTTATGATCATAACTCAGCTGAATTTTACTGCAGATACTTCTATAGAAGTATGTAATCTTCTAGCCGATTTAATACGATGCTTGCTGCTGCACTGTATGGTGGATTTTCGCTTCCTTATAAACAAGTATTACGGCAGTTACGCATGCAGCGCAACGTTTTTGCTTTAGAGTGGAAGATGCAATTAATGACCAGCGATCTGGACTGCGGCGTTATCTTCCTGGATGTATCTGCGTGTGCGTTTGGCCAGTTCTCGGTTCAAGGTCGGCGAGTTTCCGGTGGAAACTTACTGGTCTTAAACGGTGGAGTAGCCTCACGTCACCGCCAGTGCAATAGTGGGATGGTGGAAAGTGGACGCGCTTTGGTAACCCCTATTATTATTATTATTATTATTATTAGTATTATCGTACTACAGTAGCCAGACTCCATTACGGAGACTCATTACCCTCAGGTGAAAACCGTTGGGCAAACCAGGCTATTGGAAAATTTTTTTTGTTAATTTTGAAAATTTTATCGACCGGAGCGCAGCGAAGGTCCTCTAAGGCGAAATGAAAAAGTGTCTGTCTGTCTGTTTGTTACGGAAGTAACGATGACGTCATACGCGGAAGTAAAAAATGACGAAATAGTTTTGCTCGATGACGTCCCTGGCGAGTACGGATTAGGAGTGGATGTACGCTGTTTGCAAATATACACTGCTGTATTGAGAAGCATCGAACTACGCCATAGGTCATGAATGCGACGACATGCATCGACATCCCAAATACATAAAAATAAAGCTTTTTTAAACCCAAAAGCGGACATGTCTGTTGTGATGATCGAGTGGCTACTGGCAATCCATCACAGCATATTTTAGCTACTGCAACCACAGGCCACTGTTTTCTAAAACTACCAAAGACTGCCGCCAGCTTGCCAAGGCATTCGTAACACCAGTATCTGATTTTTGCATACAGTCAAAATTCTGCAATTTTTCCCCAAAATGCGGCCCGCTGAAAAAGTGAACAACCGCGCAATGGCCTCTGCGCCTCGCTGCAAGCATTTGCTTCGCGGCATGCCCGTGTGTACGCATGTGACCGGCAACAATCGCACTCCGATTCCCCGTCTCGGAAAAATGTTTTGCTGCCGTATACCCCATGCCAACAACACCGAAGTGGCACTGGCAACCCTTGGCCCTAATGGTGATACCCAGGTCCGGCACATTTCAGATAAGCTGATTTTTCAGGTTAATCTGCGGCCTTCTACATGCCGCCAGTGTATTATGGTGTTATCGAGACGGTAAACTGCTAAATTTACAAGAAAAGGTTTGGCCGACTCAGCTTAAGCTTTGATATGAGGGAATTTATTACCGGGATGTGCCATTCAGCGTACGGAATGGGGAATAGCATTCTTTAGTGGTCAGTTGTCTGGCACTGCTGTCGAAGGGTATCCGAGCCACATAATTGTCGAAGTGTAATGGTAACTACCTCTTCGACAATGGTGACCTCACTGTATTAGTAAATTGAACGGCAGTCTGTATAGAAAACATATATGTACAGTACGTCGAAATATTGGGGTGCACAACCGCCCTCATACCGGACGCCTGACGATGACGATGACGATGACGCCTCATACCGGACGCCTGATACTCTAACACTCGAGATCACGCCTCCCTTACCAGCCAAAAATTTCAACACTCCCACTCTAAATATTTCTTTCTGCCTTTGTGCTGAATTTTAGGTGCAACGCTAGCCATGGTTGCTGTGGTTTTTAAAAGGTCAAAGATTGCCCAGAAATCGTGCTTTTTCATGCTTTAACCTGGTAGGTATTTTGGCTAACGGGTTCCAGCTTTGTTTGGCATGCGGGTGCACGGAGCAAAAATTCTATACCCCTCTGCCAGTTACGGACCACTTTGGGTGACGTGCTTTTGACCACATAAGTTTTTGTCGATTTACCGACTAAAACGTCCACTGGATGTCTTTGACGTCCGAAAGTTTTGGTCGGTAACACATGCATATTCGGATATGCTACCACACTGCATCTGCTATGTTATTTTCTGTTCTGCACATTCAAAAACAAACTTTTCCAAAATTAGCCGTTACAGACACTTTCAGTATTCAACCCTAATAAGAGCTGCGCTCCGGTCTACCAATGCACAGTTCGGTGCATTTTCTTAGTACTTTTTTTGGTTTGATTTTATGAGAGAAAAGTTACCCTAAGAAGAGGTTCCGTGGGCCGGCGTGGGGTATTTGTATTATTTATTTTATGATTAATACTATGGGAATCTAATCGTATATAGAGACAGTTTTGACCGTTTGCGTTCATCGCTTTTTCGTTTCATTTTGAGAAAGCGACAAATCCAGATAGCGACATCAACCGGTACTGAACTGGCAGCTTTTACTGGATGACACGCATCTGTAGATGCGCATCCATGCAGACAGCTTCTTTCACGGAACCGCTGTCGCTGTTGTTGGTATTGTTGTTGAGGCGATGTCGAAGGGAGCGGAAATGGTTCAGATCCGGCATGCGACAACCAATTCTGAAGTTTTAAGTACCACTGCAGCAGTAATGAAAATGTTCAGGAAACGTGCACGGAGGTTGTGCTGGCTATTGGAACGTAACACACGTCTAACAAAGCGTTATGAATAACAGGTTTGCACTTTTTTGCAGGTATGTATATATGGAGTACACTGCACAGAACACTTTGGCATGCGCTTAAGTTGAGTGGGCGCTTTATTATTTCTGAATTCCTTAGTGATGAATCAGTCACTCCGGCCCACTGGCGTCGCCATACTTTAATGTTGATGTGTTTCCGGCATGTGCATCGGGAAGTGGCATAGTCGTTTATGCTCGGCGGACTGCGATATCAAGTGATGTTGGTTGTATCAGCTAATCTGCTTTGCACGGCTGCACTCTTAGTGCTCATTTTGAGCAGAAACAGATTTGCCGGGTCAAGGGCACGGTGTTGGTGTTCCAAACTTTGGCCAGGTGAGTTTAAAAGGCAGTTATGAGTTGTCTGTTTTCCGCTGATGCCACCCGTGACTGTCCAGTTCCTGTACATGTACAGGATAAAATACCGAGAGACCATCTACAGTGAAACGGCCTAGCGTGGCGGTATGTCAGGATATCTGACTTCTAGAACATCTAACTGTAAGTATGGTGTAAGTGGACTTACCGCCGACCGGAAACGACTTCCGGTTGAACTTGAAACTTGCAAAGCGGTATTAAGGAAACGCGGTATATGCAGCCATGGAAAGTCGGCAGGAATGTCCGCAGAGCGCAAAATACGGTCAACACCTTGACCTGATTACAGTAACGTTAAAGCGACAAGAAGGCTAGGATGGCTGATAAAGTAAAGGGACAACCATAAGGTGTAACGGTGCCAGTCCGGATTGCAGGACTACAGATATACCTCCGTAGCTTACGTATCGAAAACGATAAGAATACTAACGCGCTATGCGTGGCTTGCGCGTATTACGTATGTGTTATGACGTACGTGTTGTCTGTTCCGTTACGTATGACTTGCTGTTCTTATCTAACGCATTTTGATCGCTAATTTCATCCATGATTCTGGTTTAACGAATGAGTCTGAAATTTCTAACTTCACATAAATCTGTGAGCTTGTTTCTAGCTGAAAGGTCGTGTGACTCTAGGTTAGAAGGAAGTTCATATCTTGTTCTGTTCTGTTTGTTTGTTCGTTCAGTTTGGTGATTAAACATTTGGGAAGTTCCTGAGTGTTTCGGTTTCGGTAACTTTCGTTAGGCATAGCAATCCGCTCGTACCTAGCGGAAGTAGGCAGTAGTACCACTTACGGAGTCCAGAGCATATTCCCACTCTACCGATTGAGTAGGTTTGGTCATCTAGTGCGGTTGTCGCGGTGCGACTTCCGCTTAGCATGTCAATACATTTAAAAATTATACTACCAATGCAGTACACACTACACAGCAAATGTCAGCAATGTGCCCTTTCTGGAGTACAAAACCACGAGAGTAAGCCGGCACCTTGGCATTACTATAACAATGAAGGAAGATGAATAATAGGGACAAATCTTTCGGAACGCTCCTTCATTTTGTATTTAATTTCATACTGTGGTAGCAAAGCCTTTCCAGATTGTATTGTCCAAGGTGTATTGTATTTAATTCGGCAAAAGCTCATTTCGAACAATAAGCCTGCGCTGGTATAAACTGATTTAGATTATTCCAAAATTTAAAGGTTCATTTGTTCATTGGCCGGAGCTGCGCTCCGGTTTGCCAATGAACCAATCGGTGCATTTCCCTAGTTACGCTTTCACTATCAGCTGCTTGTAGTAAAAGTCGGCAGTTTTCAAAACTATCGTTAGGGATCGTTTTATCGTTTTTTTATCTATCTATCGTTTTTTTCAAAACTATCGTTAGGGAAGCTTGATGTACATTTTTTCGCTTTATCAAAGCAGCGTTTTAACTACATGGCAAATCAAATAAGGAGACCGTGATTATGCGCATGCGCATGAGCAATAACAATTATTGCAATATTGATGCGGTTACATCTGTGGCTGCGCCGTGAATCCCGTGAGTAATAAGCTTGCATTTCCCCAGTCTAATTGCGCTGCCTGCATCGTACAATATCGTACGTACAACGTACGGTGCATGTACAGTCACTTTGTATACTATACGAATACGATGACGCAGCAAAAGAAACAAATCCTTGCTTTAAAGTTTTAACAAAAACGAAAACGAGCAGACAGAACCAGGCTTCCCTAATCGGATCAAAGCGGAGTCCAACAAGATGGTCGGAACGTTTCGGCGATCCCAATTTCAGATATTTACAGTACCCAAAGAAAGGTCACAATATGAAGAGCAAGAGCGTAATGTGCAGGATACGTAATTCGTTCGAGCATATGAAATGTGCCTGCTGAATTACTCAGCAGTTTTTATCTATGGCTCTCTGCTTGGACCAGGGGATCGCCAAGCTAAGGAGAAACCAACGGCCACTCCGTACCGGGCAGCACGAGTCTAGAATCCGTAAAAAATTGCAGCACGGACCTGTGTTGAATATGTTCTAGCGCGACAGTAAAATCGAGAAGTCCAAAGTCCAAACTGTCTCAGTGGCCGTCTCAGTATGCCGGATAGGAGAGCAGAGAAAATGTTGTCAAGCAGGTTTCTTTGCCGAAACTCCAACTGGCTTTGATTGCTCGTATCGAAAATATCTCTAAAATAGCTCAAAATGTACAGAATACATTTACACCTAGCACTCGTACATATTGTATGAGCAATAGTAAAACGCGAAACAGGTTATTTTAAACTGATCTGTTAGTCTGCTCGCATCAATCGCTTCTAGCCATCGCAAAAGCAGTGCATCAGCTCTCTATCGAGACAACAGAAACATGGCTACGAAAATTCAAGTTGCCGTTGTTTAACGCATCAGATTTTGCCGAACGACCTACCAGGCTTACTTAATAAACACAGTGGCTTCTGCTACTGCGGTTCTTAAGTAAGCCAGGCACAGTAAACAATGGTGGTTCTCATTCTACGCTGCGGTCTTCTGCTCATTTGATGTGGACTTGCCATGCCGCTGTTAATCCTGTATTGTTGCCAACCGGAAGGTTCGGCATTCCCGACAATCTCATCTTATCATCCTCTGTGCTGTTGCAATCTGCAACGCCATCTTTTACTCTATTAGCAACCAGCACTAAAGCGTTTAGCGGTGACCGAAAGTTTTGTGGTTGCAACAGCGGAAATTGCTTTCGTCAGCAAGTGTACTGGACATGTATCCAGAGCGGGCTTGAAGTTAAATCCGGCTTTCGACACATGTCCAGTTCGGTGCAGGCAGTTTGTGGTCCTGTTATCCGGTTGGGGACGGCCGGGGTATCCTGTTTTCGTCGCGATGTGTCAGCGCGACGAAAATCGGATGCACGGCGTACCCCACAACGACAGCTAATAATGTGACTCAATTTGTCATCTGGAAAGTGGACTCTGTGAGGTGTAGAACACTATCAACTTGTCAAGTAATAACTTCTGATTGTAGTTACCACAGCAGTCGCTCTGACAGTACATGGCCAAGACCCGAAACTGATGTTCCCTACGATTTTCACTCCTCAAACTTTATTAGCTATACAATAAGCTTTCGCTGCTTTTCTTGGGTAGGATATTATAAACCACTATGTAGTGGCTACGCAGGAGAGAATTTAGGGGGTGCCCGAGATAATTTTAAAAACGGATGATACCGGTACCTTTTAAAATTGTAAGGTTAAATTACGAAAAGTTCAAATATTCGATCAGCTGAACACTTCGGGTGGATATAAAATACATTATTTAGATAGTCATATAGATATTTAAATAAATAATTTAATAAATTTTCAAAAAATATGTGTACTTCAGTATATTTGTGTATGTACAAAATTATCTGATGTAACAAACACACTGAATGTCTGTACTACTGTGCTTCTAATGCCTGTAGAGCGGCAGTTTGTGCATAGGTATGGTAGCCGGAGTAACAGCTGAAGAAGCGTAACAATTCTAGAACAGCATTTTCAGCAAGTCACTTGCTTAAAATCTACCCAGATGTTCTTTTTCGAGACCTAAAATGTATCTTTTCATTCTGCCATTAAGTTTGGTCTCTAGTATTTTACATGTCGCATCGCATACCACCTTAAAGCATACCATCTTAACACAAGCATATAAAAGCTGAAGAATCAAGTATATCAAATGGTTCCAAAATGGTTCCGAGGACTACCGATTGTGTGGGGCATTACCTGCCGCGATACGAGGTGCGACACGTACGTAGATGCTACGTCCCTATTAGCAGAAGCAGCCGCCGAACAGGCCTTCACGAAAAAGAAGAACAAGTACCGCACCATTTTGGACAGATATCATTTTTCGTTCCTTTGGCGTGTGAATTTCTTTTGGTACATAGTGTGACGGTACCATTGTTGTGTTTAAAGAAATCGGGAAAACGTTGTTTATTCGAAATGACGAGTCCCGATCTACTTCGTTTTTGTTTCTGCGTAAGGTTAGTTGGTTAGTTGGCCACCGTCCCCTCACGCTCGAACTCGGATCGCTTTTTCATTTGATTTGTTGATGTTGTTTTTATGACGCTGTTCTCTAAACTTGAAGTATATCATATGCTTAATTAGCAAGGCACTGTGAAAGAGGAAGCCGTACGACTTCAACTTGCGGAGTACGACTTCATTTTTGATGTTAATTTGCTTGAACTTAAGGTCGTAGCCAACAGCCAGCAGGTGGGCAAGCCTTGGGTGCGGCGCACTGAAACTCCGGCCGGCCGGTCCTAAGTCTATTTCTTGATGATGTCGGCATCCGTGTGCACTTTTTTGTTGATTCTAGGTAGCATCGTCTACTTACCGCAATCACCCGTGATATGCAAGAGAGACCGACCAACCAGGGTATTACGCAACTTTGCCATTTTCCTTCGGTGAAAGATGTGCAGAGTTGCAGCAGAAACACGGTACAAAGAAGTGATGCATCACTGGATAAATTCACCCGATGTGCAACGGAAATTGTCTGGTTAAAGGCGCAGTCCAGTGGCTCCGATGCACTCAGTAAGGCGTTATAACATGTTAAGAACCACCAACCGCCAGGCCGTCCACAGTCACATGGTACATTCGGTTGTATATCCAAACAGTTAAAAACAAGTTGGCTGCTGATAAAAACCGACTTCTGGTTTGACGTAGAACCTGAAACGCGCTAAATGCATCCACGGCAACGTCGCCGCCGGGAATTCACGCAGCGTACGCGCGCTCAAAAATACATCTGCGTTTTGCTTATCCCAGTAACGCTGCCATCAGTGCATCACGATTTCTAGTTCGTTTTTTCTAACGTGTGGAAGCGCTAGTCTAAAATACTTCGAAATGCTGAGCCCGTAATACGGTGTTTTCTCGATCCTGGTGCTGCATTGTGTACGGTTGCCTCCCGAACCGATTTCAAATAAGACAACATTCAGGGGCGAATCGCTGGAGACATCGGCAATAAAGGTCACTATAGCTGTTGTTGAGTTTGACATCTTCAAAAGGACCACTCCACGGACACGGAACAAAAGACCGTGGCGTGCTCAGCGGACATAATAAAATATTATGCCGTTTAGCTAAAGACGTGACAAGTGTACAGTATCGACTATCGAGGAGCAGATCCGTTTCCATCGACAGTCGCGCTGGATGGGCATTTCTATTCACGGATGACGCTTGGACAAGAACGGTATTGCTTGGACAAGAACGATCTAGCCCTGTTTAATATGTTATGCTTCACGCTCTCTGTCAGTAAATAACTTGTCACAGGAGCGCTCACCGATTGTAAAAGATACCCGTATTTGGTACAAAGTCACTTCTGTTTTGTCGTTACGCTGCTGGGAAATTAGGCAATGTTGCTCATCAGCAACCGGCAAGTTGGCAACGATAATGACCGATGATTGTAAATTCGTTGAGCTTTCCGAAACATAATGTATTTACTGATGTAGAACGGAGAACGTATAGGTAGTACAGAACGGTAGAATCGCTACTCGTGTGTTGTTGTATCTGTAGCTCGTCTGAATCGTAACTAAAACTCTCTGTCTCTTTTTTTAGCACAAGCCGGTCACATTGCAAAACAGTATTGTTAAAACAGTATTTAAAACTTAGGAAAACAGGAATCGTATCTAGGCGAAGAGAAAAAGGAACCGGAAGTGGCTAGGATGAGCCGAAACGTAGAACAGGAGAAACAGGGACAGTATCGCGTAAGTACATTTCATGTACGTACAATAGTCGTACATAACACGAAATATCACGCGAGGCGAAAAACACAGCCTTCAGTTAAACGCATTAAACTAACCGTTTCTAGAAGCAGGGAAGCGAGTGATTACGAGAGCTACGAGGGCAATCCAGAAGCTGGCAGAATATTGTTTGCACTACGTGCTGTGCACTAAGAAATGAAAACGTTATCGGTAATGGTCAGTATCGGTCTGCAGTTATGTTTTCGAAGGCGTTCAACGTCAAATGTTACTTTGCATGCACAGACAAAGTAACAGGCGGGACAATTTTTCGCAAAGCTCTGCCTGGTTGTCTTTCCTTTTCACAAACAGTAATACTGGCAGTACATTTATTTCATAGAGGGAATTGTTACTGACCATTGACCAGTGACACGCTGACTAATACAAGTATATTTTCTCCTTAGAGTAACGGCTTAGGAAGTTTTCCGTTTCACATTGGCGCGGAAAATGCAAGTAACATATTGAATTTTCGTTTGAACAACAGATAGTGTTGAGATCACTCTGCAGCCGCACTTCTTCACAAAACGATGCAGCGTAATCCAAAGCGACGCAACTGAATTTCATCTATATGCGAGCACAACAAAAACTTTTCTACAGACTGGCATATGCAGGACTGCAGATAGCCCGTAGTCAGTCACGTACAGGTGCCCATGATCGTCGCCAAAATAGATACGATAAGCGACCGATAATTTGTCGGCTAAGTAGCGATACTAGGAAGTGCACCGCTGCAGGCTAGCACTAAAAGACCGAAGCGAAGCCACAAATTTCCGTAAGATTGTCCATTCTGACAAAATCTTATCCTGTATTACGAATTTTCGTCCTATTTTAAATTCACATATCTCTAGTCAACATTAAAATCTGCAGCAGATAATTTATCTGCTGCCCGTATTATGCAGTTGGAATGGTTTGTCAACAGCCTCAGAATGAAAGTTTACACCGTGAAACGATTCGACCGTGATCTAATTCGACCAGTGTTTGCGTGGACAAGCAAATGCCCACGCAAACCGCTGCAGTGGTTTGCTCTACCACCACCACGCTCTACTAAGACGGTTTCTCCCCTATATAACCTCCGTGTCCCCCCTTCCACCATCGCCAAAACGGTAACCCTTTGGCCAGAATGTTGACACGGGGGACTTACAACGAAAAGCTGATCGAAAATCAGGTCACTCGGTGACCTTTGAAGAACCGCCACCAGCGTTCTTCAGAGTCAAAAACCAGTGAACGACAGCAATCACGGACTGGATATTATTGCCGAAACCAAATTACTGGTGTCCGGCATGGGGGACATTATTGCATTACGAACGTGGAAAACCGGTTTCTTCTACATTTCATGCGGTCCGATTCCAGTTCTTCGTGTTTTTTTTATGAAAATCGTAGTTATTTATTGATTTTGCTTATTGATTATTTGCTTTAGTGATTTTATTTAGTGCCTTTTATGCGAAATGAGTCAATGAGCAAATTTTTTACTTAATAATTGCAGCAGCAACGTGTTTATTAGGGCCCGCAGTAGGCTACTAATGTACCTTAACGAGCAGAATTTTTGTTTGGCTTGGCCAGGTGCTGTTGGCCTATACATGGGCCATGTATAGGCCAACAAATTTACAAATTCTTTGCCTGTAATCACACGTTGCCGAAGTTAGCAGTCAGATTTTGAATCAGTTAGTTTAGCGACGAAATCTGAAGAAAACGTGGGTCAGCAATAATGAATGAATGTCGGCTGGGAAGTTGGAAGGAGAGAATTTTGGTACCAGAAAAGTGTTTGGGAGCACTGTAAGTTAAACGAAGTGTTTGGTGTACAAAACTTGGTACCAGGGACCGACATACTTCCCTCAAAAGGGTCACCATGTATTTTTACGGGCGGAATAAGATTTATGATTGAAAAAAGTGCTCGGTGTACTCCTTAGTTAAGTAATTCGTATGCTTTTCTGTATACTCCTTATGAAGAAATACAGTAATTATTGTTTTTAAACTAACACAACTTGATAATCTTTCTCATCTTGTGCTCTATCTCATCTGCTCTTTCTCATCTGCTATTAGTAGTGCGTGAGCAGCGTGACCGACGGACAGATTATTGCGTGACCGACATGACCGACAAAACTCGTGTGATCTTGAACATAGAGGACCTTCGCTTCGCTTCGGTCGATAACCGCTGCAGCATTAGATATATAGTGCGATTAACGCTACTCCTGTTGTTAATTTTATTTTGACCACATCTGTATTATAGTGAAGTTATTCCCTGGTTCTGTCGCACTGCCGTCGATAAAAGTGTGCATGCTCGTTGATCTCTCATGATTATGCAGTTCCTAATCTGTGATCCGTTGCCCTTCTAATTGCCCATTGCCGTACAAGATTACAAGAATAACCTTTTGCTATCTATGGTAGACTACTAAACATTCGTTATTAGCAAGTACTGCCGAATATTTTCATTTAAAAATTGGTTCGCTGAACAACAAATTCAGACGGAAGAGCCACTAAAACTCCGCGCGTTCAGGAAGTACCAGGGATTGGCTCCGTTAATCATCAAACAACGAAATTGAGAACTGAAAAGGTCTCAAGCATCCAGAAAGATGCGTAAACAACAAGGAAAAAAGAACTGGCGTCATTACGCAACGATCAAGCCCGAAAAAAAAACATGAAATGATAAGCGGGCAAAAAATAATCAGCAAAGTGATTTACTGTTGCGCCACCGCCAGCGGAACGTCGAAATGGCGATATAAGCCAACCAGCAGCAGATCGATGTGGTCCACTTTGGCTTCCACCCTCTGGATGTTGGCTTCCACCCGCTGGATGTTGGCTTCCACTCGCTGGATGTCCGTCTTCAGCTCCGCCTTGGCTTTCCCGGTACACGTCTCCGTATGCTGCTCCAGCTGCTCCGTCTGTGCTTCACAAAAGTCAGCCACCGCCATGATGTAATCGTACTGATCGTTCGGGTGAGGCGTTTTCAGGGACCAGGCTTGCACGCGGGCGGCCATGGTCGCCCGGGCTTTTGTAACGCGTGCTTCCAGTTCTTGTGGAGAGGCCGTCCACGTCTTCCCTTGATCGAAATAGTACTTCTAGAGAAAATAACCAATGCTAGTCAGATGGTGCAAAGTGACTGCAAACTGCAAGGTTCGCATAGTCAAGCATAAATTGTTACAGAAATGTAAATATACCGTGGATTTGGGCGGTGGAGGTGCGGTTTTAGACGAGGAGCTGCCAGCAGTTGGTCCAGCTTTTGAGAACTACAATAAAATACATTGTGCAACTGGTCACCATGGAAATAGAACCCACAAGTGAAATTCGGAAATTAGTAATGACATACATGATACAACTACGTGACAACGGTGTTATTTCGATGATTCTTGACATTTTTGAAAATAATTATTTGTCAATACGAGTGCAGTATCTTTTATACTTATTCTACACGTACTCATTCTAAATTCGAATAATGATAAAACCAGTATTGTACGATTTGTATACGGTACATTACTGTACGCAGCTATGTTTTTCTTCTTTTTCTTTCCAAAATCAATCATTTTCAGTTGGTTTAATTGTATTTATTAATACGAGTACTAACCGCTTGTTCAGCTTTAGCAAGTTTCGAAGTAATCAAACAGCGTACTCCGCTGCTCCCACTCGTAATCTCTGTAATATTTTTTACTTCGCGTGGAAACCATTACCGTCCTCGTTCGCAAACTGCTTCCACAATTTTCGTAAATATTTTTAATACACTGCACCTTAACTCGCGCTGCAGTGACCGAGCGGCTGACAGCGCTGACCTGGAATACCGATTGCTGTCAAAATTTTTAAACTAAATACTTACCGACAGCATACCGATAAGGCCAGCAAAAAACGCCGTCATCACGATCATGCTGATCAGTCCTACCACAGATGATGCGTGCTGTTCCGTAGAATGCGCCTCGGAGAGTCTGTCGATCACGCCGCCGCCGCCGATTACACCAGCATGTGTTACCGGGCCGATGATGACCGCGAAGATGACGATGGCGCTGGCCAACGTTGCACAGGCTTGCAGCTTCATCTTATCTGCAGAGATAAAAAACAAAAACATCCGTTGCAAAAATCGGCACGCCGCACACACTAATTTGACAACCAAAAAAGTGCATGGTCCATTCACGTTTATCTGAAATACTGTACTTACAGCTAAATGAATTAAAGTTTCGAAGAAACGAACGTACGAATATGATTTTCTGTGATACTCAAGCAACCAGCATTATCCATTAAGTAATGAGAATTAAAAAAAAGCGAAACAAAAAAAATTGTAACTGCACCAGTGCGTACTATCAGCACATAGATTTCTGTGACTGTGAGAAGCGCAGATCCAGAGAATGAAAATCAATAGCTCTACGCGACTTCGGCATTGCAGTGCAATTTCGTACCGTGCTTTTTTTAAATTGCTGCGCACTTTTGAAGGTCAATCATTTCAAATGTACATGTATATTTGCACACAGTAATTATCTAAAGACGATATTGCTACGTATTATGCATATTACTTAATTAAAATGTTTTTTTTTATTTAAGTAAGTACTCAGTGTGACTACTTATACTGAAGTACTGCATATTCAAGTGCAATGTTTAACGTAGCTGCGTTTACCTCTACGCAATGCGCACGAAACTACTCTCCATCGCTTTTCCCAATTTACGCAAAGCTGTTACGCATTTTCGTAATCTTAATCGTATTGTTTTCTGGTGAAAGTTACTGCAATGCGTGGCGTATGCGTCGAAACTCGAAACATAAAGAACTGGTAATAGCAAACTTAACACGTAAGGTTTATCACAATTACATTACCAGTTCACAAAAAAAGACACAATCTCACAATGGATAGTTTTTGCACGTTCTCGCTTATCTGCATAGATCGATTCCAACAGGTTAGTACAAATTACATAACTATTTAATAATGCACACGGTAAGTTGATAAGCTATACTTCTCCTGAACAAGACTGCGCCAGTACCAATAAGCAATACTGCGCACGGAATGTACAATACCAGCGTTAATTACTGCAGCATCATTCCAGTACTGTACATGTACTGCAATTCCCGATGGCGGTGCCAAGATTTGCGCAACGCTAACGCCACGCGCCCGCACACGGGCACGCGACGTGCGCAAAGTAGCCCGCCGTTTTCCCGACGAGTTGCCAACCGTTGCAACTACGCCACTGCCAGACATTAGAAACCGCACGTTACGCTTGCATCATCCTAAGTCTAACGCCGCCGAGGTTCTCCGGTTTTCCAGTCAAAAAAAAGGACAATTTTCAATGAAAAAACCTTCGGCTTTTATACAGTAGTACCAAGATTCATGAATACAACCTTCCTGCTATTGTACTCGTAAAACGATCTTCTAATTAAATCGACACGGTTAAAAGTTACAAAATGGGAAGAAGAAAATGCTCGCTGAACGAATAAATTTAAGTAAGTACGCCTGAACCGTAGCGAGCAGGACAGAGATTATGTTTGTGAAAGGTTAAAACGATAATAAGCGAAAGTGTACGATGGGAGAAAAGAAAATGCTTGAAAATTTTACTGGCACGACGGCGAAAAACGTGAAAAACGTGAACGAGAAATCAATATTAACTATTGAGCAAACCACGTACCGTACAAAGTTCTTCACGCATTTTCACAAACTGGTACGAACCTGCTATCAGCAACTGCAGAAACTATAAAAATCTTCACAGAAAAAAATAAAACACTCACCGACTGTAGAAAGATCTTCGAGAAAAAGATGGGGGACGTGGACTTCTCAGGCTTGTCACGCTTGTGGTCCTGGGAACGAGCAACGGCGGATTACGATCGAATAGGCGCCCACTTCACTGTAAAATCGGTATTACTGTACGGCAGCTGTGATATTAATAAGGGAACTGTTTACAAAATCATAGCTTTCCTGATTACCTTAATTTTAATCGCTGGAAAACGGTATTAAAGGTGGAAACAACGCTTAGAACTGGCAGGAGAATGGAGAAGGTTGAATTTTGATCGTTAGGGAAACTGACGGAACGAGAAATGACGACATGCCAATTTGTACGTTTTACGGGTGTACCTGACTTAGGCTGACTACCTGTTGCCTGAGCTGGTACGAGATGTCCGCTCCCTGAACGCAGGAAAAGGAGCAATCGGAAAGACTCGTAGGCGTTCGTAATTGCAGCAGTCAAATCGCGTTGGCAGAAATCGAAACTGTGCCAGCCTCCATGGACACGTCACGGCGTTTCCGACCGCCCACATTCCATGACGTAGACTTTCCTTCCCGTCGCGAATTCCTTCCTAAAATTTCCTGACACTTCGTGGAAATCATGAATTATTGTGCGCAAATAATTTGTCTACGAAATAAAAACCAGACATATAGAAAGCAAAACCAGACATCCGAAGCAAAACCAGACAACCAAACGAAGAAAAAACAATTTTGCTACTGCGTTCCAAAATTATTTTAAGGAACTTTTGTTTAGCAGTGAAATGCGGTTTATCGTCAGTTTTCATTTTAGCTAGACAGAAACGCGTTTGTCTTGAAGTAATAGTCTATCACTGGCCAGCAGCCACAAGTTGTACAAAAAACGCGTATTATGCTCTACGATTATGGACGAACGTCTTGTTTTGATTTTCGACTGGACATCAAAGGCTGCCAAAAATCCCTATCTCACCTTCTTTCCTAGTGATGCGGCAGCACACAAATTGACTGCAGTGAACTTCTTCTGACAGAAACGCTGCTGCAAAAAGCTATTCGGTACACCGTATAAAAAATTATTAGCTAGGAAACTTTATTGGTACTTTTAATCAAGACTAAAATCGGTAAAGATTAAGTAGATAATTATGAATAGATTTTTACAAAATTTTATGAGTATGTAATTGCTTATAAATAATTACGAATAATTTCTTACAAATTAATACGTATGAATAACTCCTTATATTTGCACCATGAGGTGCCGTATGTATTCTTCTTTGATTTTGCGGTTAAGTAAACCTTTCATTTTGATGCCAGTTAGGTTATTGGATCAAAATACATAGAAATTAACAAATACTTACAAAATGCATAGTTTTGGCTGCGTACACACAAAGACATGCATACACATATGTAAACACATAAATACAAGCTTGAAAACACAACGTACATACGATATAATTCAGTTTATATACATATACGAAAGCGTAATTACAAGCTTTAATTACAGTCGTTACAGCATTAGTATTTCTAATTTAGTTTTCTTCTTAAACTTAGTGCGTAAGTTTTCTTCTTTTCGAATGTTAATTTAGAATTTTTCCAAGGGATACAGCTCATCAGTGAACATGCAACTGCTTTTTCCATCTGACACACTAGCAAATTGCCTATGTTCAAATTACATCCAGGTAAATAAATTATAATCAAAATTTCATATTAATTATACGTACAAGCAGTTTTGCAATTCGGGCAGATGCACCATGCGCCAGAGAGAATGATAATCCAACAGTTGTCTTGTACAGATACTTCGTAGATGTACAAGACTAGTATAATTTTTGTAACATCGTCGCAACACAATCCCGCAACGTGCGGCAGCATATTAAACAAAATATTAATACAATAAAAAATATTATAAAAGCAACAAATCCATAAAATGTAATATAAGAAATGTATCCACCAAAATCCGAAACAGAAGATTTGGTAATGACCGTAATGCGTAAATCCGTCACCCGTTAAACTGTAATAATGCCAAATAAATTAAAAACGGCGGAAACAGACAAATTTGTTGCATGCACTTCGATTGTTTCTTACAAGCTGGCGATACACGAAGTTCGAAGTTAGCTCAGGAAAGTACTCGGAAAAAGTGTTTACGGCTTTTGTAAGCGAGACTGGATGAAAATGGCACTGAATTCTGCAAGATTAGGAAAGAACGCTTTGATATGCGCCTGCACATCACCAGCAGCATGTCCGGCTGGTGAGTGGTGAATCAGTCAGTCTTATCTTGCCACTCTCCAGTGTTAATGTTTTTCGGCGTCTGTATCTGGGAGCGGCATGGTGATTCACGCTGGCCGGACAGTATAATGTTATCAAGTCCATTTTATCAGTTAGGCATTTTTGCACTGTACTTCAGGTTCTTGTGCTGTGCGGTCAAGGTCACGGCGGTGCCCTTCCCTCGACCAGGTCCGTACTGGAGGTACCTACTGGTCACGGTAGTGATTGACAGCCTGTTGGTTATTAATACCGCACTCGTTCTAATATAAACAGCTGAAAGTCTCGGTAATTAGCGTATAAATTATTAATGCAAAAATCAGAAAAACATAACACACAAACTCGCTGTTACTCTGTTCTGCACTGTACGCCTTCGTTGAGCTGCGCAGTTAAAGTCACGGTGGTGCCCTTCCCCTTTCGGCCAGGCCGGTTGGCGAGGTAATAGGGACCACGGACCATGGTCCACGGTGGTGGTCGGCTTGCTTGTGGAGAGCTGACACCACCTAGCAGTCCTTCTAGGACGTACAAACCAGTAATAAAAGTACGCTGTTTATAACGCTTTTTTGCACTGTACTTCTGGTTCTCGTACTGCGCGGTCCAGGCCACCTTGGAGCCCTTCCCATGTCGGCCAGGTCGGTTCGGGAGGTACCTTTTGGCCACGGTAGTGGTCGGCAGCCTGTTGGTTATTGATACCGCGATATCCCATAAATGAGCGTGCTCGTTAATGCGGACGGCAAAAAACTTGGCAAACTAGCCCTTTCTATGCCGTTTAGAAATGATAATACGTGTAGTAGTCGTATACCTATGAGGAATTATATAGATATATATGAATATATCTATATTACCGGAATATGATCTTAGAAAGACATGATACGAGTTACCCTAATTACGGCTGCAACCAGCTTATCAATCAGAGTTGCAAAACCACCAAGCAGTTATGTAATTTCCATAATTCCGGTAATAAGTGCGCGGAAGCTAATGCGAGGCAGCTTCACAATTCGAAGCCAAAACGCTTCTGCCGGAAACTCGTTGACCTTGAACCGTGAACAAGCCGAACGCTCAGATATCTCATCTTTTCCACTTGTGTATACAGTCTCGCAGGTACGTATAGCAAGAAGGGCGATGCCAGTCCAATTGATGGGCTATATCATTGCGTTCTCACCGAAAAGACAAAACGATATTTCAGCTGCGTACGTATAAAATTTTCATATCCAAAGATAATAAGAATATGTGTTACCAGGACACAGGCCCGTCGTTAGACCCCTATCCAGTTTTCGAAACACTACTCCTCCTACAGTTTCTATCCGATAATTTTCCTGAATATACCATTGAACTCAGCGTAAAATTCTGAACAAAATGATTGAGGCCGATTTTAGAAATTCGTTTCGCCACTAAGGTTTCATCAACGGGCGGTCTCCAATGCGACACCCCCTTTCGGGGTATTTCCCCTCGCAATTTTCAAAAATTTACTCCTCCCACAGTTTTCATCCAATATTTTTTCTGAATACACCAATGAACTCAGCGTAAAATTCTGAACAAAATGATTGGAACCGAACTTCAAAATTCGATTCTTCCCAAATCCGACTACCAGGGGCGGTCAGACATGCAACAACATATTTTCGAGGGCTTTCCCCCTGACTGCGGCAAACGCCCTAAAAGCATTTGCTGTTAAAAACTGTATTTTTGAGATAACATCATGCAAATAATGTACATCTGTTGCACAGAGGTGAAGGTGGTTGGTCCGAACAAGTGGAACAAAATATCAACAAAGTTGCAGATAGAAAACGTTATAGTTGCTGTTTGAACTCTCTGGGACGGAATACCCCGGGCTTATTGTGCGGATGGCGCGACTTAAATTGACACTTACAGTACTTTAGTTTCTCCTACAATGCTCTATTTATATAGAATCTTACCAGCAGCTCGGTATATAACCGGCTTGCTACAGCATCTTTCTTTAGCTAATAACATCTGGCTTACTTCTATCAATAAAGCTATTTTACATCCGCGTATTCCACCTTAGAAATACCACGTAACACAGAACAAATTAGTTTTTTTCAGATCAGAAATACCAAACCGACTGAAGTGCTTAGATTGGACGATGTACGTATATTCCCTCCTTAATTATAAACGGCATCCCCGTCGGCAATGAATTATAAAGACTAATTTTATGGTACTAAAGATTCAATCAGTGCTAAAAGGTCTGTTCTACTTAGTCCATGCAGGATGTTTACGAATATACCTACTCGCCATCTTTTCATGAATGCAACGCTGACGTAGTAAATTGGTTTGAAGATCTTATCCGTATAGCCGCCTAAACGGATGCACCGCAATCGCAGGTTTCTGTTTGCCTTCAAAGTCACCGAAACTCATTTTACACCATAGACGGACGAACAAAATTTTACGAAGAGGTACAGTACTTTCCGCCTTTCACCGACTGCTTGATTAATGCACCTCGGATTCCCCTAATTTTGTCATCTGGTGGAGTACGACTAACTCTGGTAAGAGAAAAATCGCACGGAATAAAATGAACGATATAGTTCGGCGTCTTGCAGTCTTCCACTGTGAAGTCTGAAGGATGGGTAATTGTAGATTGACGTGGAACTTATAAATTAGCCGAGCCGGCCTGAGCGAGACTTCCTTTCGTTTCAATCAGCAACTCCAACTGATTTCTCATCCAGTCATGTCCGACATCGCGCGCGATTTGATGGATGTGGATATACTGGGAGACGATGGTTGGTTCCGCCGCGGGCGTGTCGTGGATGTGGCTGATACCGGGTTTTTCATCGATTTTTTATGTCCCAACCGACGACGCGAATTAACGCCGTTTAACCAAATATTCCGTGACCTGTCGGAGGGGCACATTTTACGGCCTAGCCATTATGGTGGTTCTACTGTCCCCGTAGAAGTACTGCTGCGAGAGACTCCGGCAGGCCCGTGGTTATGGTTCCCGGGTGAAGCGTTCACTTTTGGGGCGTGGTTTTTTATTCCTTCCCAGGACACTGCAGTGGTGACATGGTGGAGGAACGGATCTCGCTTCACAGACATTCTCCTGCCGAATCGAATTCGAGGGAGAAGGCAGAGCACATGGTGGGACAGCATTGGTCACTTGCCTCCCGCTGGATATGCGCCTACCGATACAGGTAAATTCGCCAGACAATTTGCGCGCTGAATCGTGCGATACCTGCAAGCTGCAAATAAATGAGATATCGCAAATTGTAGGTGGAGTCGCAGGACAGATGTCTCCTGTAGCCGTTAGAAAGTGGGAATATGTGAAGCGCGATGTGCCACTCCCGGAAACGTTCAACGCGGCGGCAGCTGGAAAACTGTCTGAACCCATCAGCAGATACCAGGAAATACCGGGAACTACTAAGGGAATGCTTCATCTGGATATGGAGAATGAGCGTGTGTGGTTTTTGTACCGTCAGCACCTGGAGCCAAAGAAATTGTGGTCTTCCGTAAGAATTTAGATGTCAGGCTTTACGCGAGCTTCTCACAACGAACCAGCTGTTTTGTTATTGCACAGGAGTTCTGTGACCGCTTGGACGAAATGCTGGCTCAACGTCTTCTAAAGATTCTTGCGGAGATAGGCACAGCGCCCGACGGTCTCCTGACCGCGGATAATCTCCATGTGCTCCCGACAGAGTTGCTGCTGGAGGTGTTTTCCTACTTGGACACTGTCGAACAAACGCAACAGCGCGGCGTGTGCACTTTGTGGAACGCTCTTTTACAATCCGCGCCGTTGATGCAGAATATTACCGTGAAAAGCTTTGGACGGGACTGCCTGGATAAAGCCTGGCTCGACTTTGTGGTTTACTCGCTGACAGCGCCGATTTTTAAATGCCTGCGTTCCACCACAAAACGTATCATTGTCGTCAGTGGAGTTCGCGGGCAACATTACCCGGAAGTGTTTGATGTGATCGAGTTTATTGCGCAACGCGATACAGCAGTGAAACCGGCCGTCATCTATTTGGTGGGTGCAAAGTTTGAGCTAACGGTCGGCAGCGATCAGTGCAGTACGCGTGACACCGCTGGTACCTGTCATGTGCCAGACAGCGAGCCGGATCAGCTGTTAAAATGCTGGACTCGTTTTGAAGGCTTCGCCGCATCGTGGAGCCACCGTCCCTGTAGTGGTATCCACTTTGTCGGCTGTGACATCCAGCTGCAGTATTGCAGCCGCGGGTTGTTTTGCCATCGCAGGTTGGATTTCGTCGGTATGAAAAGCCAATTGTTGTTCAAGATCCCGTCAGTTCGAGTGACGATGTCGGATCATCACGGATGCGCACTGTTTGATGCTCTGGAGGCGACATTGCCGGCACCGAGCGAAGCGCAGCTGCATCAGTTAACCAAATCGCTGGCTCTCCTAAGCGAAAATCAGGATTCCTGTCATGCTCTTAAGTTGCTCCCTGAGGTAACGCGAGAAACCTAGTGCCTAAGTGCCTTGATACAGCTGTGCTATAGCCTGATGTTGGCATTTCCAGATGCTGTGCGCTCTGCAGACGGCTGATCCTCGCCTCACATCGCATTATCGCGGGAAGAAGTGGTGCGTCGACGGAGTGAAAGATTTGCAGCCGGGATATCTGACGCGCTTGATGCAACATTTTCTCATCAATGCTATCTGTTTTTGAGAATTAAAGAACCGAAATCGTCTACCATATTTTAATATACACTATATAATATGAAGTTTCAGTGGTTAATGGTTTTGTCTTTTGATAGAGAACGTCGCAATAAATCGGTTTTTGTAGTTAAGATTTTATTTCATAGCTTGTAACAGACCACGTACAGGGCTCGCGATAGTGAGGAAAGGCTTTATTATGTACAAGAAACGGCTTCGACTTTGCCTCCGCGTTTCTTGTGGTCTGCGGTCTGTTTCTCAAATGACTTTGATTAATTT